AAAAAAACTGTGTCATAGGTTTTCCTCGCCACGCAAAATAATTTTTATACATACTGTCCCAAGAATCAAACCTAAAACATTATATTTAAAATATCTAAGTTCTTTCTACTTTGATCAACTCTTGTTTTTTTTTAAAGATTATAAACATTTCACACTGAGCTACAGGTGTAGAAGACGTTCGATTTCATTTGGGCCACGGATCTCTGACTACTTTCTCTGTGCCAGTATCCAATAATGGCATCGCCACATTAAGCCATTTATATTTGCTGTTGGCCAGTCTAATGTTATCGGCTCGTCCCGCTGGATAATTAATTTACCAATATTAAAAAATTAATTTAATTATTCATAATAAATGAATATTTTTATTAATAACGTATATCGATAGATTTTAGACTTTTTCTAGTTAAATTATATTTTAATCGATCTTATTTGGTCCCACTCAGGATGTTCTGGGATGCGTTTTAATGCAGACCGGTTTTTGTGCGGACGGGGTAAGGTTGAAGGCCGGATGAAACTATTGGTGAGATTCCACTCTCTTCGGGATTTCCGCCGCCTCTCTTCCCTTTTTTTTTCCTCTTTGCCATCGAGCAGCCTCTTTTTCTGGATTTCGACTATTTTGACTGTTCTGTTGTTGAAGTTTTCGGCTGTAAAAATTGACCTTCAATTATGAATGTGACGCCCGCCAGTGAGATAGGACCCCCCCGGGGGAAAACAACAAAAATTTTGGAAATTTATAAATGCTAAATAAGAAATCAACAAATTTTTTTATCATTTACAAATTCAGTATTGTTTACACCAAATAAAATATGACTCTTTTAATTTTAAATACAAGACATATTTTATCATATAAGTTACACTATAGAGTAAGTCTTATATTTAAAACCAAAATAGTATTATCAAACTTGAGTTGAAATTTAGTAATTTTTAACTTTCTTGTTATATTATTCTCTTGAGATAAAAAAGAAACAAAAAGGAAATCGTTAGAGACTTACTCCTGTTGCTTTCGTAATTTCAACATTTTAAACAGGACATCCATCCAAAACGTGTGACTGTTTTTTTTTTTTGCTGCCGAAAATCCGTGACTGCTTATACGGGATATATGTAGGGCGCAGACCTGAAACTTTCTCAAATGTCTTTTCTATTTATTTTATTCTTTCATGAATCATGACACTGGTGTAAACTCCTGTTCGGTTGCCTGGCTGGGCTAATTATATTTTTTGAGTACCTAACTGGAAAACTCGTTCATAATTTGCTTATTAAGCTTTCTTATTTCCGGAGGTCTTGTTAAAATCATTTTGAGATAAGTGAAGTCATATAGGAATTTTAGTACTCCTTCAGTTTTAAATATAAAACCCATATATACACTATAAAATAAATATTATATTTAGAACCAGAGAAGTATTAAAGAAACGGTCTAAAGACCGCTGAATTGGAATATCCACATGGTGATGCGCATTGCGATGTTCATTCTCAGTGCAAACGTGTGCTGTCTTGACCGTAAGATAAGGTTGAAAGCTGAAAACGAAACAGTAACTGGGAGACTACCCACTCTTTCAGGATTTCCACCTGACATTCCCGTGTTAAACCGTAAATTGCCCTCTTTTGGGTGAAAAGAAGATCAAGATATACTATTCTACGCGACCAATGAGACCGCTATCGCGTTAAAAATTAAGAGGCCAACATAAATTAATTTTAATTGGCAAGGAGTTGATTTACATTGTTGGCAAGATGTTAACTCATTTACGCAAATGAAGTCATAGTGCGAAGCAGAATAAAAAAAGAAAGAAAATGTGAAAATCAGACGCCGAGGGTACGTAGGCGCTGATGAGAATGAGATGGGTACGCCAAGTTGTGGGGGCGGGGCGTAACGGGGGGAATGTGATTCTGAGCGCAAGTTGGGAGGACGCTACGTCTCAGTAGATTACTTGATGCTGACGAGGAGCGTGACCAATTGGAGACCCCTGCTTTATTTTATTTTTTTTCCCCGTTGTTTATATTTTTCTGAAGCAGAGCACCGTTCATCCAGTAGAATTTCAGACTGATTTTGATTGGACGCAAATCTACAACTGCATGATTCGCCCTCATGGATGGTTGATTTGAGATCACGGGCGTCCCTGCCCTAACATGGTATATGATTCCAACCGGCCACAGCATCTCATTATAAACCCCTCTTTTCGAAACTCGATGCTCTCCCAGGCTGACTGTGGTCCTGTGTGGCAGCACGCAAGCAACCCCTATACTCCTCAACAAGTAAGATAGCGACACCACATGTGAAGCCCCCTGTACGTCCATTATTCCTCGCATTTCATGGCCTCCTCCACGCCTCTTGCTCCTCCGTCCGCACCGCCCTGCCCTTACTACCATACATATTTAAGATTCTATGTTCAAATACAAATTTAAATTGAAAATATTCTAGAAAATATGATTACCACAAACATCACAACAATTACTATTAGGCAAATTCTCAACTCAAATTTTTATATCTATTATAATAAGTTTCTCAATTATATATATATATATGAACAAGTGTTATTTTTCCCCCATATGAGTCGTTAATTAGATGATAATATTTTAAAAATAGGATAAGTGATCGTGTGTTATTGGAGAGCTAACCTGATGAATATAAGAAATTTAATGCAAGTATGGTACTTATTATTATTTTTTGAGCAAATATTATTATTATTATTAAATTACACTAATTCCATTCTTAGATTTTAAAAATTTCAAAGCCCGGCTTTTCAAATTAAATAGAATTTTAATAGAAATATTATTCTGTGATTTTAATTAAGGAATGTAATAACCAAAATAACAAGTTTGAATTCAAAAAAAAATAATAATAAAGTGCATGCTGTTTACTTATTATTAAGACTTTTTTGTGATTATATTTTTGTGGGATCTTGTAGTGATTTTCCTTTCCAAGTTTTTTAATAATAATTTTTCAGAAATATTACTCTCAATCGAAGGCGGATATTTTCTTCTTTCAATTGCTACCACATTAGATTTTTTTGAGTGCTTCAAGAATGAGTTAGTGCTCATCCGGTTCTTAATATAAGACTCAATTTTTTGAGTTGGTTTTGATCTTAAATATAAGACCCATTTATCATATTTATCAATTTTCTCTAAATTGTCCCTATGGATACTCTATTAACCACAATCAAGTATAAGAGGGAGAATGTGTATTAAGAAATATGATTATGATGTTTTAGGAAAAATGTATCACTTTTTTTATAATTAACTAACTTACCTAACTTCCTTAATCTAATCGAATTAGTTAAATGAGTCTTATATTAAAGACCAGAAGAGTATTATTTATTATTCACCGTTAACAAGTAAGAGGCTCCTTATGAATTTAATTTTTTATGACTGATTCGTGTTTGGTATTTAACTTTTTTTTTTTCAGTACCTAAATCAATCATAGGGTTTTTTTTCCTTTAGAAAATTGTGTCATAGGTTTTCCTCGCCACACAAAATAATTTTTATAATCATCAAATCAACATCTGGTTGCATATAAATAAATAAAATGCACGAATTAAACATATTTCAAGAGACGAGACGAAAAAGTTTCATTGCTCTGAACAACGGCGGAGAAAAGTGTCGACAGATTATCTGCAGCTGGATCTCATCCTTTGATCGAATCCAAGAGAATCATGCCGAGACAATAATTTACTATTTAAGTTGTTGTTATATATCCCTACTCTTTATTTTTTTTAAAAATATAACATTCACAACATATTGTTAGGAGGTAAATTACCTCCTGATCAAATTAATTAAATAAATTTTATATTAAACTATATATTTATTTAGTTCTGATCTTAGCGTCACAATAAACCTTTTCTACCCCATGACAACTTAATTGATCCCTAATTGACATTTTAATTAAATATGTGTGATCAACTAGCCTACAGGTGTGTTTGGGTGACACCCCAAACCATGATTTGGGGACCCAAACCATGGTTTGGGGTGTCAATCACCCAAACACCCCCTCTAAAAACCAAAACCATGGTTTTGGGTCAAAACCATGGTTTTGGAAAAAGCAAAATTTTTTTGCTTTTGGAGAAAAAAGGGAGAGTGTGAGAGCCTATATGATATGTATCTTGTTATTTTTTTATAAACATATTTTTTGATAAACATATTTAATCTTATATTTTATAAATATATACACATTAATTATTTATTAGTTATATTATCTTATATATTATTAATTATGTTGGTAAAAAATATATTATTAACAATTTTATTCCTTCAAATTAAAATATATCATAAAATCTATTTTTTCTGTAATTATCATATTAACTTATGCCTTTTTTTTTTAGTAATTTGTATATATAAAAAGTACTTCTGATAACAACTATCTAAACACTCTCACTTCTCAGAATCATTTTTTTACAAAATCTATTCTTCACAGAATCTATTCTCTTCAGAATCTATTCTCCAGAATCACTTTTCCAAACCACGGTTTGGTTTCATCCAAACACACCCTACGAAACATTAAACAATAAAGAAAAGCTTGCAATGAATACCACTTACTAAATTATGAGTTACAAATAATTAAAACATAAATTACAAGTTAAAGAGAAGTTAAGTAAGGGAAAAAGTGAAAAAACGGTTATAATGCAAAAACATATCATTAATTCAAAATAAAAAAATATATTAAAATTCCAAAAATTTCTATAACTTAAAGAAAAATTAGAGTCGTTTAAAAAATTATAACTGATAAAAAGCACATGAGGGAGTAATTACTACGGTTGTTTATTAAGTTTGCTAAAAGGGGAAAGTATTCCACAGTGCACGGTTACTTACTTTCGATGCAAAAAAAAAAAAAAAGGGCCGAGCGACGGGCGACTGAGGCGCGCAGATGAAGGGAGAATATATGTGAGGTGGGTAAAATTAGCGGAAGCGGTTACCTCGCCACGCTTCAACTCAAAAGCAATTCCGCAACTTCAGATACTTCCAAACCATGAAACCAACCGATATCCATTGGTCAACCAACCAGGGGAAAGAAAAAAAAGAAAAAAGATTGATTTCCGAATCCCACCTCCGCCAGCGCCAGCCTTAGCCCTAACCCTAATCCCTTCCCTCAAGCTTTCCCTCCCGTTTAAATATCCCCCACCTTCTCTGTCTCCCTCACCCAAATCCGCCTTCTTCTCTTTTCCCCATCTCCATTAACCCCCCACCTTTCTCCAATTGATTTCTGGATTGGTCTGGTTCCTGTTCTTCCACTGGGTTCTTGTCCCTTCAATCCCAATTTCCCACCCACGTTCCCGAGTCTCATAGTTCGTTGTGAATGGTAGAAACCCTGAGTACCTCCGATTTCATGCTCTCCTTCTCCCCGTCGAGGGCGAGCGCTCTTCTCCCTGCTTCTGCTTTCGCTTTCGGCTCCTGCAAGGAAGGCTGGTACTACCGCTGCCTCGGCGTTGACCCCTGAACTCGCCGTGCGGACCCAACCCCCTTCGTTTTGCTTTTTTAATCAATCCTGCGCCTGATTCGTCATCTCTCGCATCCTCTTCTGATCTCCGTTCGGTTCAATTCTTAGATCCTTTCTTTCTTTGGGATTTTGGGTCCCGGGTTTTCGATCGCTGATTCGTGATTTGAGATTTTGATTCGTGACTGTGACACAATGTTGCTTTCCAAGCCCAAGAAGAGCCAGAACGCTAATGGCAAGAGGCTCTTGATCAGCATCAATGTGCTCGGTAGCGCCGGCCCGATCCGCTTCGTCGTTTATGAGGAGGAGCTTGTCGCTGCGGTCATCGACAACGTCCTGAAATTGTATGCGCGTGAGGGTCGGCTTCCCGTTCTGGGGTCTGATATCAGCGGCTTCTTGCTTTATTCCCCTCAGGTTGGATCAGATGGTAGGTTCCATTCTATGTGAACTTGTTTTAAAATATAATCTGGGAATTTCAGCTTCATTATGTATTCATTTGTACTTCAGATAATTCATGCTTCTTCTTTGTCCTGAATTTGGATGTTATTTCAGCTCTTAGTCCATGGGATACAATTGGATCATTTGGAGCTCGGAACTTCATGCTCTGCAAGAAGCCACAGCCTGCGAAGGAGGCAGAGCAAGCAAGTGTGGCTGCAGCACTTGTGCGCAAGGGGGGCAGTGGCAGCTGGAAGAATTGGTTCAACAAGTCCCTCAGCCTGAAAGTTTCTTCCCATTGATCGTGGTTTTGAGCTTTCCCCTGATTCCACCTTGTGTTCTTTATTGGGTCAGTTATCTTGTGTTGCTGTTCACTACTGTTCTTATTAGCCAAAGGCTTGTGTGAACTCTGAACTCTAAATAACTCTGGCTTAGAGATTCATTGTGTCCTCGACCTTTGATATAATAAAGTTGTGAATTAGCTATTGGTGTCTGTTCGCCTTAGCTAAGATTTTTTTTTTTTGGAGTCCTTGACATTGAGTTATGTCGGAAATTATGACCAATTACGGCTTGCTCTGGGCAGCGAACTCTTGCCGGATTCATGTTGTTCTCGTATCAGAGATTCATTTTTATTTATGAATAAAGCTGGAATATTGGTTGACGTTTATTGTTCACCATGCTACTTTAGCTTGGCACATTCTCCAAGTTTTTGTAGTTCTCATTTTCATTAAGGCAATGAATGGGGCAAATATTCTTGGGTATATTCTTGTAGTTGCATTGAACGGAGAATTTGGATGCCCCTGGCATCAAATATGTTATGTTTGTTGACTTTGTGGATGAGAAAGGAATTAACATCTAAACAAATCCAACTATTGTAATATCTTTTATTTGGATCCTACTTCTGAGGCACGTTGCAACTTGCACGGTAGGTATGTACAATCTTGTGCAAATTAGTTGATGGTACAATATTGAATTGACACAAAGCACACTAGATTCAGTGATTGGCGAACCGAGTATTACCTAGCCAGAAAATCATCCCCAAGTAATAGAAATGTGGATTGATTTTGTGTTCCTTTCTAGTTTGGAAAGGACTAAAACCATAATCTTGGTGGAAACAAGTTGCCATATGCCTCTTTATCTTGTGTTATTTAAACTGAGTTCATGTTTCTATCAAAACTGTTATTTAGTAGTTTTTAACGTGAAATAGAGGGGGTCTATTAATTGTACCGTGACCTAACCAGTGTATTGGGTCTGCAAATAAAACGAAGCCATGAGTAGATATTACGGGATCGCGTGAAGCACGGAATTGGGGACGTCATGGACGGTTGTATATTGGTTCCATGGGATCGGGACGTTTTTGCGCAACGTCATCTTGAAGGGTTGGCAACCAGTAAGCACTCTGGTTGGCAATGGCCGTAAAAAATCGTATGGTAACTGCCCTCCCGCGTCGTGCATGATTCAGATAGTTGTACTAAAGTAATGTCTCAATCAATGGATGATTATTTTATTCGCCCGAGCTTTTGATGTGCCATGTATAAATTATTGTTTTGGTTCAATTGGATATTCTAATCACAAAAGCATGTCGATTTTTGTTATACAATGAAGTAGTAGTGATTTAGGAGGGGGTTTTTTCTAGGCAATGAAATGGTATGATCGGTAGTGATTTAATAAAACAAGCGTACACTAGGATGGTGTCTAGTGTCTAAGTTGAAGATATAAACCTCATGTAATCATAGATTGTGTGTTAGGGTGTGTTTGGTATGAGGGATTTGGGAGAGGGGGGGAGGGGATGGGAGGAGAAGGATTTTAATTTTCCTCTTGTTTGGCAACACACAAATTTTAGGAGGGGAAGGAAAAATTTTTAAAATTTTCCCCTCTCCTCCAAAATTGGGAGGATTTAGAGGGAAAGGGTAATATTTTGTCATATTATGACCATTATGCCCATATTTATCATGTTTGTAACTATTATGTCTATATTTTGTCATGTTGTGACTATTATGCCCACGCCTTAAAAAAAATAAGAGCAAAATTGTCCATATTAAAATATTTTTCCCTCCCTTCCCCTCTTTTTTTTATAAATCCAAACAAGATAATATTAAAATCCTTCCACTACCCTCTCCTCCTCTTCCCTCCATTAAAATCCCTTCCCTCCCCTTGTCTCATTGAGCCAAACATACCCTTACACTGTGTTTGGCTCGATAGAGGGAAGGGGAGGGGAGGAAAGGGGAGGGTAGCTACAAGGGAGGAGGAGGGAGGGGAGGGATTGAGGGATTTTAATGATCTCCTGTTTGGATTGATTGGAGGGGAGGGGAGGGAGCAATTTTAATAATACTTTATTTTATTCTAATAAAAAATTGACTATTTTAACCTCATAAAATTTAAATGAATTTTCTCACTTTTTATTTTGTTAAGATATAACTATATATATATAATACAATTCACCAATTTGATTTACAAGACATAGTCACGTACTTATAAAATATCAAGATAAAAAGTCACGAGTGATAGATTTCAATCAGAGAAAAGACCTTGAAGGTGAAAGAAAATACCAACAATCTCTTGGAATTAGAAGAAGAGAAAAAAAAAGTTTACAAATGCTCACTAATTTTGGAAACAATTATCTTAATAACCTCTTGTTAGATACTCAAAAAAACTCTTTTATGTAGAAATATTTACGACTGATTAGAGGTTAACAAATCAAAAGGGTATATAAGGAATTAAAATATTATCTCTCATCTCCCCTCTAAAAAACCCCACTTTTGGAGGGGAGGCTAGAAGGAAAAGGAGGGGAGAAGAATCCCTCCCATCTTTAAAAAACATCTTAACCAAACGAGGGAAGGGGAGGGGCTTCCCTCCCCTCCTAAAAATTTACACCAGCCAAACAAGGAGAGAAGGGAGCAACTCCCCTCCCCTCCCTTCCAAAAATCCCGTACCAAACATAGCGTTAGCGTCGGAGGGAGAAATGGGGATTGAGCGGGGAGGGATGTTTATGGGGCAAACAGGGGGGAGTGGGGAGATGGAGAGGATGAAACGGGAAGCGGGCAATACAGTGGCTGTGTTTTGATTGTATTAGGAGGAGAGTGTGGAGTGAGGCTCACGTGTGCCCTTGCGCCGCGGCATATGATACGGTAATGGGAATGGGGGCGTTTGCTTCTTGTACTGTAATTGGAGTCAAATAATAATGGATAAAAAAGCACGTGTTTCGTTTCTTATTCCGCCCTTCCTCTTCCCCATGAGCCATTTCACGCACGCCTCTCCTTGCATCAACTTGTCTTCATTTCTTCTCCACCTTTCGCTCTCAAACTCCCACCACTTGAAACCTCCCGTAAATCAGCAGATTTGCAGTTCAACTCATCCTCCTCTTACGCACTTTTAACTTCCTAACCTAAAACAAACAAAACAAAAAAAGCGCTACTCGCCCAGTCCTAAATATAATACTCTCTCTTTCTTTATTATAAGAGACATTATACTCTCTCTGTTTTTTATTATGAGAGACATTTGATGCTTATGGCATGTTCCTATATATAAGAGACACTTTAAAAGTTGTCTTTACTTTTTTTGTTGATTTTCTATATTTATCCATATTTATTATCTCCAACTAAACACTCTCTCTCCCTCTCACTTCTCTTTCTTTTAATAATTTAATTTTTTTCTCATGCTCTCTCTCCTTATTAATGAGGGTATCTTTAGAGAAAAAAATTATACTTTTTACACATTAATGTTCTTGACTAATTTTAATTGTTTTTTTATCAACATAGTTCGGTTACTGTCTCTTATAATAAGAAACGGATGGAGTACCATTTAATAGTATAAATTACACTAAAAAAGTATTATATTTAGGACCGAGAAGAAATATTTTAGAATTAATATGTGTTGTTGGCATGACTGGAAAATGGATCGTCTTCCAAACTTTTTGAGTCATGAAATAATTGAACAGGCAAAAGATCTGCCAAAAAATCAAGCAAAGATCTCGTATCGTTGTGTTTGTCATGATGTAAAAAGTGAGGCTAAGGTTGCCCCAGTAATATGTTTTGGAATCTCTGTATCAGCATGAAGGGCGGGTACGGTAGGCAAATCCTTTTTGTACCCGATCAACAGCAAGTGATCCCTACTTATCTTTATGCCTTTCTCTGTTGGCCCTTCTTTCCCGCTCTCACTCTCTCCACTCTTCTCCTCCGTCCTTTTCGCTATCATTTTCCAGCTCTTGCCCGGAATCTTCTCACCCTTCTCGTCAATTCCAATTCAATGACCCTCTCCTCACCTGTCATTTTCAACACCCCATAAACGCCATGTGCACCATAATTATCAATAACAAAATATCACCAACAAATTAGCAAATTAGCCTTCGATTAGTCTATTCAAAACTTCATTCGTTTCCAAACCGGGTCTTAGATCACCGACTCCGTGCACTCTGCAGCAGACTGAACTCCAACAAATGTAACATACTTACCAGCATAAATAGTAGTATCAAGTATTTTTCTAATAGGACTAAATTATCCTAAATCGATTTTTAATTTTTTATTACAGCCACATCATTTTTCAATGATTCTAAAGTAGTTTTTTTTTTGTCATGCACTTCAAAGTATTGTTTTCAATTGTACTCGGTATTTTAAGTTCCAGAACTTATTGTTACAGAAAAAAAAATTTAACTTGGACGAAAAGTTTATTTTAGGATATTAACGTGGTAATTGGATGAAATAAGAAATCAGTTTAAAATAATACGTGCTTCTGAAAAAAAAAAGAAGCTAAATGCAATTTAACCCTATAAAACTATAATTTAGGAAAAATGGCAAAAAAAAAGGCCATCGAAATAGAAAAATTGTAAATAAAGACACATAACAACATTGGTATGGGTTTTGATAAACAGATAGGATGGGTTTTAACAATAATTTTAAAAACGGTTCTTGTGTGTATTTTTCTATTTCGGTGGTTTTTTTTTGTCATTTTCCTATAAGTTATTGCACATTTTTTGTAATCGGTTTTGTGATCTGTACATTGCGCTGCTTTTTTTTTTTGACCAGTACATTGCGCTGCCTACATTCAATAACGAGTTGAGATTGTAATTTATACAAAAATTTATTATGTTAAAAATAGATAGATCCAGGGGTAGGTGTGCAAGAGACAGTTTAGTTAGAGTATAGCGTCCGCGTTACAAACAAATGAAGACTGACCTGACCTCTCCCTTTAAATAACTTGCACATGGCATGGACTGACACTGGGCTCCAAATATGCCATGCTCAATGCTGCTGGTTGCGGGAATTGTGTCTGCTAATAAGAAAAAATTAAACAATAGGAACTCAAGATTATTTATACAAAACCTTGAACTAAATATTTATAAATTAAAAATTGTAGATTTATCCGTTTTTAGTTTAGAATAGTTTATAAACACTAGATATTAGATGATTTGATTAAAAGAAAATCTAACTCACAGTCTAAATCAACAGAACATTCACGAGTTTGAATCGTCAGTGTGTGCCTGTGCCAATCGTCACCAATGGATTGGGGTCCGCACAGCCCACCCCAGCCTGAATGGGACAGTAAACGATGAGGGGCAATATGGACCGGCCTGGCCCATTCGGTTGGCCCAACATACAGTGGACATTTAGTGGGCTCCCCTATCTATTTTCACGGCCCAGCCCATCAGCCCACTTGCTCTTGTTGTGTCGCATTACCTGTCGTGTTTATAACTTTAATTTTTTGCCAGCAATACGTTATATTCCAACTTCATGATGCGATAATCTACGTAATTTCTCCTTT